TGCGGAAACCAACCTTGTGTAAGCTGCAAGGCCGAGCGCGTTTGGGAACTACCAAGGTGCCGCTGCAACTGGCGAACATATACCAAATTGTCTTTTGTGGAAAGCAGTCTATGAAAAATGCTAACCTGACTCTCAATCGCTCGCCGCAAAGGACGATTTTGAAGAGGCGGTACTCTAGGTCACTTGAGATTAAAAAGTGAAAGCCGTTTACAACTCCCTGTAACACCGAATCAGAGCGCAGCTTTTGAGGAGGAGGAGGAGGGAAGGGTGCTGGGGGGTGAAGTGACCTGGGGGGGTCACGTGACCTTGGGGGTCACGTGACGATGCCGATGATGTCATCAGTGACGTCACTGATGACATCATCAGTGACGATGATGATGCGGACTCCGATGACGTCATCAACGACGATGACAATGACGATGCGGATGCCGGTGACGTCATCAGTGACGTCACTGATGCCGTCATTCGTGATGATGACGATGACGATGCGGATGCCGGTGACGTCATCAGTGACGTCACTGATGACGTCATCAGCGATGATGACGATGACGATACGGATGCCGGGCAGTGAGGTAATCAGTGACGCCACTGATGACGTCATCAGTGATGATGACGATGACGATGCGGATGCCGGTGACGTCATCAGTGACGATGACGTCATCTGGGAGGTCACGTGACCCTGGGGGTGGTCACATGACCTCGGGGGGGGGGGCGTGTCACGTGACTTCAGGGGGGTCACGTGCTCGGGGTCACGTGACCTTGGGGGTCACGTAACCCTGGGACGGTCACGTGACCTCTGGGGGTCACACCTTGGGGGTCACGTGACCTTGCGGTGACCTTGGGGTCGCGTGACCTGGGGATCGCCTTGGGGGTCGCGTGACCTTGGGGTGACCTTGGTTACGCCGACGGCGACGCCGACGCCGTTCATACCGGGAACGGGTCCCTAAGAGCTGCGCTCTAAAGAAGTGACAGCCGTTTACAACTCCCTGTAACGCCGAATTGGAGCGCAGCTCTTAGGAGGAGGAGGGAAGGGTCCTGAGGGGAGGGTAGACGCGCCCTCCTCCGCCCCTTATTCTTTAATATGCTCCGGGGGGGTCACCTGACCTCGGGGGGAGGGGGCGTCACGTGACTTCGGGGGAGGGTGTCATGTGACTTCGGGGAGGGGGGCCACGTGACCTCGGTGTGGGGGTCACGTGACCTCGGGGGTCACGTGACCTTGGGGGGGTCACGTGAGGGTCACCTTGGGGTCACGTGGCCTTGAGGTGACCTTGGGGTCACCTGAACTTGGGGGTCACGTGACCTCGGGGTGACCCCCCCAGGTTACGTGGGGTTACCTTGGGGGGTCACGTGACCTCGGCGGGTCAAGTGACCTTGAGGGGGGTCACGTGATCTTGGGGTGACCTTGGTTACGCCGACGGCGACGGCGACGCCAACGGCGACGCCGCTCAAGCCGGAAACGGGCGCCTTAGAGCTACGCTCTAAAAAAATACCTTGACTGGGAGTACATGACGCATTAAAATACAGTATGACCAGAAACTTGAACAACCTCTAATATATAAAAACAATTATCCTCAACTCGCTGCCTATGACTCCTCAAGTGTGGTAATACACTTCATTGACATACGCAGCAGTCACGTGATAGATATTCAGCCACATACTACGCAAGAAGACTACAAAATAGTTATAATATATTGCGGCATAGAATCCTAATCTCTTCACCGCTGACGATGTGCACATAGTCCCGAAGGGTAAGGCGCCGCTCAAAATGTCTGTCGCACACCCCTGATGTCTCGGCGAGGCATTTATTATCTCGATTACGATTTTTTTTCCCACTGGAGTCTGCGCGACTCCTCCTTTGGCGCACAAAACAGCGACTGCATATGATTGCTGGTGCTTCGGCTGCTCTTGTTGAGCGTGTAGCCCGACTTGAGTGCCGGCGTTAAGCAGTGGGTGCGTCCATCCTTTTCCTCGCATTTCTGACCAAGACGGCGTCGGAACGGGGAACACTCCTTATCACTACACCACAAAGAAAAGTGCTACGTTCGGGAGGAGCGTCACGCCTCAGCTTCGTCGTCTTCTTCGCGTATCTGCCATCTGCCATGAATTCTCCTAGGGCATAGAAGTCCAGGCCACTCGCGGCATCTACGTTGACCGTCTTTACGCGGCCCATTGTAAGCGGCCGCCGCTCTTGCCACTACATCCTCTATACTCGTTTTCATCTCAAGAATCAAAGTAAAAAAAGTACGGCTTCTCGCGGATCATTACTAATTTCCCTCTTTAGGCGGCGAATTGAGATATACGCAGAAGCATTTTAGATTACATATATGTTACCTTATCGAGACGTACACGTTTCAATCACCAGAAGTATATTTTCTGCCTCCGAAAACCAAATCTTGTAAGAACTACTTCGTGCGGCGCATGAACATTGAGCAAATCTTCCTTTTTTCTTGAGGAGAAAACGGGTATAGAATACTGTACTCCAAAGGCCACGCCCGGTGCGCGCGCCGCTGGCCACTCGATTGTGTCTTTTTATCTATCTTTTCTCCATTTATACACGCATGCGCGTATAAATAAAGAACACGACGAAGGCGACGTTGAGAGGACGACACACAGGGTGACGGCGGTGCCTGAATCTGAGCCCCAGGCCTCGGTTCTTCGGAGGCGGCAGCTTCTGCTTTGACTGGGCTACTTCCTTGAAATCTGATGCTTCGACCGCAGTGAACCCCAGTGAGCAACAGTGCCATCATGTTCGTGGGGCTTCTTCATGCACCGATCGAACGGCGTGCCAGATCCTCCAGCTCGCTTCTGACACGCCCAACCCGGCTCCACGAAATCTGCAGGTCTACAAATCAGACGGCCATCCTCCCCATTACCAACAATCCATGTCGTATTCATTATGCATGCATATACTTATCACAATTTTATGTACACTAGACGCGGCACCGGGTCCTCCATGGTACAAGCCTTTCCGCGGTGCTGCGAGCCAAATAAACAGCCTGAAGACAAAATGCTTTGCTAACCAACGGCTTGTAGCGCCTTAAAAAAAGAACAATAGTGTTTCCTCGTTTATAGAATACGAATTCTGAAACTACACCATACTAATGACGCACATCAGTGAAATAACATACGCACGTTGCACGCACCACCTGCATCGACGCACCTTGGGCTATACCTTTGAAACAAGAAGGGGCTTTAGGTGGAATCGGAGACGACATCGCTGCGGCCACCGAGGCCGCCGCGAACGTGCACGTGCACATGCGCGTGGACTGTCGCGGGCCTCCCTTCTGTCGGGGCTGAATTCGGCGCTGTAGGCGTTCTGTCTAATGCAACGGAGCAATGTGTCATAAACTAAATGCGATGAGGCACATCCGAGGTCTCTTTTTAAGGCTGTGCGCAACCCTAGTACGAGAATGGGTAGAGACGTAGATCGCTTATCTGGCGTGGCGTGGGCCATGAAGGAAGCTAATCAAGCCGCGCCAAAAGTTAATTGCAGTGGTTGTCATTAGACAGTTTTAGGTAATCGTTTTTGCACGTCTGATAAGGTACGATGAGTCATCCGGTACTTATTTGGCATATGCGAGTCTTCTGTGGTAGCAAATGTGCAGTTCGTACCCGAGGACCGTCGTACCGCATCGGAGGTGCAAAAACGGTTCTGTAAAACTTTGTATTATATTTGTGCTTTTGACTATTAACCAGTAGTCAATGTACATTGTCTTAACAAATTACTCACTGTAAATGTGGCGCAATCCCACGGATCTTTTTTCTGTGCGCGATTTGTTAAGTTCGTGATGACCGACACACAAAAACGAGCGCCGTGATTAGGCACTTTTAGCGCTAATTGATTGGCTTAGACGATCCGCAACGACGGCTGCCGTTAAAGTGAAAGTAAAACGGAGCATTCGTCTATGCCTCCCCCACTTCTCCCCCCCCCCCCCCCCCACACACACACACAAAAAGAAAACTGAGGGAGACGAGGAGACGAGATGCGCGCTGGTTTGGGGTGATAAGTGTGCAAGTCTGAAGCTCTCTGCGTTTTGCCTTGATTGCACTCGTCAAACGCGTTCAAATGCGAGAGTCGAACGACGGACGCCGGCGTTCTGTGTTTTATCGCGTTCGACCAGTGGAGACAAAAGAGCTAGCCATAGATGTACCCCTTAATGACTCCAACCAGTGGTGGGCGTTCTGACGTCCCCCGCGCTTTCTCAACTTTTCCTCTCTCTTAAGCCTCTCTTGTACACAGACGTCATGCGGGCAGCAAACGAGGCGTAGCACAGCGGACACCGATACTGATTGGTCGCAGATATCGAGCTTCTGCTCGCCGGCCGTTGGAAGTCTCACGTTCTGCGCTACGATACGTTCGCTGCGCTCCACGTCGGATTATAACAGAACCTTTAGTTTCTCGGCGCATAACACTTTGACGTTCTTTTGGATGTGCACGTGCATGCAAAGCGCGACAATACGCAGTGAGAACATCCTGGGCCGGTTTGCTCCTCTTGCGACCGCGGCCGCGGCTGCGGCCAAGAGGGATTTTTATGTCACGTGACCAGCTCCATGGGGACAAGAAAATGCCTAGAGTCCCTTCCTAATGGCGGAAAAATCCCTATCGCTTGAAGCACAAAATCCTAATTTCGCTCTCAGAAACTGACTGCAGGGACTTTCAACTGGAGTTCCTGCAGTCAATTTCAGCGGGCGAAATTAGGCTTTTGTGCTTGAAGCGATACGGATTTCTCCACCACTAGGCAGGGACGCTGGGTACTTCCATGTCCCCATGGAGCTGGTTGTGTTACAGAAAAATCCCTCTTGGCCGCAGCTGCGGCCGCGTCCGTTAGATGAGCAAACCGGCCGTGGAAGTCGGGTGTCTGAAAGCGATGTCCCGTTGTTCTCATCCTGTGAGTGACTACGGGAGGTGTTGATCGACGTCGTGTGCTTGCCTAGTGCACAGTAAGAAGGCGGAGCCCCAAAGTCATTTAGGCGCGATGTAGCGAAGAAGCCGCACATACTAGGGCGTAATATTTGCAGTGGTAGAAGAGGGGAGGCCAGGCCCAGTTGTAGCCGAGGCTGGCCGCGAACAGCACGACGGACGGGCGGGCCGGTCCCTGCAGGCCCCCACCGTCGCGAAAGGCCAGGAACGCCGCGTAGCCCATGGTCGAGTTGAAGACGGTCCACAAAACCACCTGGCCCACGGCGCTCGGAAAGGACAACGGCAACGGCCGGGCCACGCGGCATCTCTGGTCAAAAGGAAACGAAAAGAATCCAGCTTCGACAAATCCCATCTGGAGGACAATGCCAGCGCCATCGCCCCCCTTCCCTCCTCTTTCCGCTCCAGATGATATCATTAGTGGATTCCCGCAGCATCGCCTACCTCGCGTCTGCATCGTCGGCGGCACGTCTTGCTGCATCCCACAACGAGCGCGAAGTTAGCACGAGGCAACGCCAAGACGGACACGTCTGTCGCCTGGCGGCGGCTCTCGTCGTGATCCAGCGTGTTTGCCGTTTGGGGCGTGTCGGAGTTCCAATAAATAAAACCCCTTCATGTTTCAAAAGTAGCGGAAAGTTTGCCGGTCTACGAGTCACGTGCAATCTGCTGCCCTTGGGAAGATCATGCCGGCACAGCGCAGCACTGAGCTAGATTTCAGACGCCATGTTCTTCCCAGAAGTGGCGCGCGGCACGAGTCTCGAGCATTTGCACAACAATGAATGGCGCCACTTTTCCCAAGATAGAAGGACTTTACCAATAATGATGACGGCGTCGACAGTGTTTGAAATTGCCGGAGCAGAATTTGAGATGTCGGGCCATGAGCTTACGCGAAAGACATTTGTATTGTTTCCTGTGGTTGCAAGGCTCCGAAAAGTATCTTGTAGCGCAAGCGATAACGAGAGTTAGCGCGATTGACGAGCTCGCTGAGATCTGCAGAGGGGCTTAAGGATATGGTCTGTGGCTCTATCATTGTTTAATTTGGAGCGGAAAGAAATTTCCAATTGTCAGCCCGCGCGCGTTGTCGCCGCGCGGGAAGTCAACCTCCACCTGCACATGTTGCACCCTAACAACTTTATTGCTGCAACGGAGGCTCTGGCGAAAGACCCGTTCCCTGGAGGGTGGAGACTCGGGATAGGACTCCTCCCTAACCAAGGGGAAAACCAAATATCACTACGGCGATTGGTTGGTGGCTCATGGTTGTCATTGACTCGTCGACCCACAAGTGCGGCGCATATTGTGTCTTGTCGCGGAGGAGGGCTGGTTGATGGGCTCCGGGGACCTGTTTCCCCGTCGGTCCTTCTTGGGTTGTTTCTCTTGGTGTCGCCCAGACATATTTTTTCAAGTTCCCTGTGGTGTTCTACACTAAATTCGCACTTGATCTCAGGATCTGATGCATTTATGTTGGATTGGATTCTCACTTTAGCATGCGTGCTATACCTATGTGGTGCGTGCAAAGGGGGAACATTTATTTCACAGTTTTTAGAGCGCAGCTCTTAGGGGCCCGTTTCCGGCTTGAGCGGCGTCGGCGTCGGCGTCGCCGTCGGCGTAACCAAGGTCATCTCAAAGTCACGGGACCCCCAAGGTCACCCCAAGGTCACGTGACCCCCCAAGGTCACGTGACCCCTCCTAAGGTCACCTCAAGGTCACGTGACCCCCAAGGTGACCCCACGTGACCCCCTGAAGGTCACGTGACCCCAAGGTCACCCCAAGGTCACGTGACCCCGAGGTCACGTGGCCCCCTCCCCAAGGGGCTCTCACAGGAAAAGCCAAGCATGTTGTAAACATCTTAAATACAAAAGCGCACAGGACAAGGAAAGAACTAAGATATGCACAGGACAAGCCGACTGGACAGGAAAGCAGAAGCCGTTCCTGACTTAATCTCAGCAACTAAAGATTACCCACGAACTACCAAATAACAGCACCTTTCAATTGCTAGATCTTCAGCTGTCCTTTGAAGAAAACTATGCATGTTGAACCTACAAACCGCGGTTGAAAAAATCAATTCTTTCATTTGAATCGGCGCATTATAAAATATTCGAGAGATGAATTGTAAAAAGCTGCTTCATAGTAGCCTCGCAAAGTTCGTGCAAGCACACAGCCAAGCACAGATTTGAGGCACAAGTCTAAAAACTACATAAATCTAGATATACCAGTTTCATATTTTTTACGTTGCAGAGAGCTTCACTTCTCATAATGAAAGAAGAAAAAGAATTATTAAGACACGCCGACCGGCAGTGAAACCCAAGTGAAACCCTACCAGCACAAAAATCTCTCACAACTTGAAACGAATAGCCTCTAAACATGACATTCAGTTAGTGACATCCGTCCCTGGTAAACTTTGAAAGAAACGGCGCCTGAAGATCAACTCCCAACATGAACGGCAAGAACCATTTTGAGTCCAGCACGCACATAAATATGTCAACTAGAACGTAAACATTGTGTAGAAACTTTTGTTCACATGTTGGAGAGTTTACCCAGTGTTGTCATCGTTGGGTGTAAAAAATCCGCTATAAAGCGATAAGAAATGCGCCAGATTCCGCTAAATTCTAAAACATATTCTCTAAATTTTCCGCGCCAACCCAATCTATTCAAACAAAAACAGTGAAATTCGGCATTATATAAACTTTTATCATTCTTAAAAGCTCCCCAAAAGTGAGAGAGCTGAAATTACGTATCGAAGAGTCTTCTAAAAACGGTAACTAGAATACTAGAGGCTCCAGTGCTGCGGTTGTTGTCAACCTCACCACAGATGAGAATAAAAGTTTTGAATGTTCACACTAATTCAAACAAAAAGAACTCGCAGGTCACAAAAAGAGAAATAGGTGATGTCTTCCTCACCGCTTTATAATGTTCCCGTTGTTATTAGGGATGTAGTTAAAAAAAAGGAAAAGTGTCAATAGTGTGTAAGATTTTTTTACTTTCCTTAAATAATAATAATATAATAATAATAAGTTTATTTCGACATGCATATGTCTGGGAGGCTGCGGCAAAAGAAGACACGAAGTCCTCTGACGTGGCCACCAGCCCCCATTACAGCACTCGGCACGTACTTCTAAGGATACCAAAAACAAAATGAACATCAATTACTTAATTCACATCAAAAAAATGTTTACGGATGAAAACATTTCAAGAGTCACAAAGTTTAGTGAAAAATAACAAACACTGTTACATAACATTAAAAACGAGCGTGTGTTTATTCTTTCCGACTGTTACATATAATATAATTGATCACATTTGCACATTTGAACTAATGGCACAAGTGGCAGGTGCATATTATTCGATTGAAAGAAAATATAATTTGATCATTTTCCTAAACATCTGGAGATTGCTACAGTTGTGTACCATTTGAACTATATTTGCATGAGTATTTAGTAAGTCAGCGATATGATAATGAAGTGTATGAATTCCATAGTTTGTTCTGACACTTTGTTTGATGTAAAAGGTGTGTCTAAGAGTGTAATCGGCAGGCTTATGAAGTTTTTTTTATTTATTTATTTCACAATACTGCAGGCCCCGTTGGGGCCCAGGCAGGAGTGGGGGGAAAAGAAAGGGGAAGGGATGGCAGAGTCGCAAACACACACGTTCTTCAACACAACACTGATACTAAATAGCATATATCATCGCAATTTCGAAAAAAATACATCAGGGGTAGGGCTATCAACAGTGTCTTTTTCTAAGCAATTCCATTCTATTATGGTCCTTGGGAAAAACGAATTTTTAAAAATGTTGTTTGCGCTTTGGTATGGCTCTAAAAGACTTCCATGATTAAAGCGTGTATTTCGGCGTGTGACGTGCTTTATGTAAGGTGATGAATCTAAATTAAAGTAATTATTCTTCATTAGGTACAAAAACTTCAATCTGAAATTTTTCCGGCGCGATCTCAAAGACTCCAATTCAAGTGATTTTACCATTTCTGATGGGCTGTCTAAGCGGCGGTACCTATTGCATATGAATCGCGCAGCTAGCCTTTGAACTTTCTCTAATTCGTCTATGGCTTTTTGTGTACACGGGTCCCAGACTACGCACGCGTATTCTAAAACTGGCCTGACCAAAGTCTTATAGGCACAGAGCTTGACACTGGAGGGTGCCAGCGGAAGTCTGCGCCTTAGGGACCACAACGCTCTTCTCGCAGCAGCACAAACATTGGCAACATGTGCATTCCAGTTCAAACTACTCGTAATTGTTACCCCAAGGTACTTAACTTCAGAGGCTTCTTTAACTTGAGTGCCATTAATTGTATAGGGAAAGTCCAGTACAGTTTTTTTATTTGTAACCCTTAGTAATGTACATTTATCCAAGTTCAACGGCATTTGCCACTGTTCACACCACGCATAGACATTCTGAAGATTATTTTCGAGAGCTAGCTGGTCATTATGGGTTTCTACTTCTTTGTACAATATGCAGTCGTCTGCAAACAACCGAACCCGAACTCTGTCATCTATGCTGTCAACTATGTCGTTTATGTAGATAAGGAACAATAACGGTCCCAGAACCGACCCCTGCGGAACACCTGATGAAACAGATAACTGACTTGAAGATTGCTTGTCTATTTCGATAAACTGGGAGCGGTTTGAAAGGTACGACTGAACGAATTGGACTAGGTCGTTTTTAATTCCGATTGCGTATAGCTTCTGCACTAGTTTATGATGTGGTACTTTATCGAAAGCCTTCGCGAAGTCTAAAAAGATGGCATCGACTTCTTTTCTTTTATTTAGAGCAAGGGCAAAATCATGCAGAGTTGTTACTAACTGTGTCACTGTTGATAGCCCTCGACGGAAGCCATGCTGAGCACTGGTAAGGAGGTTATTTTCTTCCAGGTAATCAGTAATGTGCCTGCACACTATGTGCTCCAGTGTTTTACAACAAACAGAAGTAAGGGATATAGGGCGATAATTAAAAACGCACTGAGGATCACCACTTTTTAAAATTGGCACAACACGAGCGCGACGCCAGTCAAAAGGAATCTCTTTTTGTTTTAGTGAGTTATTAAAAATGACGAACAAATAATGCGACAGCCATTCAGCATAGCGTCGAAGGAATTCGTTAGGCACATTGTCCGGCCCACACGCTTTTTTAACATTTAGCCGAAGCAAAAGATCAAAGATTCCTTCCCGGCTTACGACAAGGTCCCGCATGGCCGACGACATATCACAGATGCTCTCCGGCTGTGCTGCCGAACGGGGGCTGAATACGGACTGAAAGTACCTATTGAATTCGTTTGCCATGTCGGTTTTATCAGTGACAAGAATC